TCATAGACACTTTCATCAGGCTGTTGATGCATTTTTGAATAACATGCTAGTCTTTGTGACTAAGAAATAGAATGGGAATTTGTGGATATTATTAGCCAACGTTTGAACATCTGCTTGTCCCCTTGTGCCTACTCTAGAAATATCACCAGTAAGATCTTTCCAATCAACATCTTCCATCCATTCTTTAATATATCTGCTTGTGTGTGAGGTTCTATCTAAATCTGAAGAGCCAGGCTGGTATGTTTCAGGGAGGAGGCCAAATTGTCTGGCAAACTCAATGGAACCCTCTTCAACATTGGGAAGTCCTTAGCATGTAATTCTGCCTTAGTCCAGGGGGATATGTGATTGTTTTGGGGCCATCCTCACTGGACCTGGCTTTAAAAGGGGCTGTCATTACAGGAGGGCAATATGACTAGCCTTCTGTAGGGGGGTCCATCTCAGTGTTATAAAAAGTTCAGAGACAGATGGACAGCAAGGAGGAGAGCCTTGTGATGAACACTGAGAGGAAAAGGAAGGAGCAGAGGAAGCCAAGGAGAGAGAGCTCTCAGAAGCCTCAGGATTTTTCCAATTTGGAAATCCTTTGAGATCATTGCGAGTTGGTTTCTCTGAGGGAAGCAATAGTGGATTCACTATTATGTTTGGAGGCCTGAAAATACCAGTTGAAATATGATTTGCATTCTTTTTGTCCTGTTCTAAACCTTTTCTCCAATCGAGCATGCAAATAAACTCATTTAAAAGTCTCAAATGAGCCAAAAGTGGGCAAACAGTTTCAAGTTGTCATAGGTGATTTAAATCCAAAGCAACAAATTTACAAGAGGAGGGCCTGTAGGTTTTAAACCTAAGATGAGTGAGTTCTGCACAGCAGCTGCCCTTTGGCAGTGCCCTTAGAAACCAAACTCCCCATAAGGGAGTACTTACCACAATGAAGGATTCCCTTTCCAGATAAAGCCTGCAACAGAGGATACCCAAGTAAAGAAAGGCATTTAGTACCTCTGCCAAAATGGGAGTCTGGGACCATGAGTAAGTCATGACCCAAATCACAAGGAAATGACAGAGTCCAAGGGGCTCTTATAGGGGAATTACTCCCATTTGGGGCTGCGCTGGAGGTAGAAGTGAGTCACTTTGGTTCCTGCTTCTAACAATCAGATTCAAGTCTGCAAAAAACAAAGAGCTTTATTTGGAGCCCTGGGAATTATAATTTGGGCAACAAAAATACCATATGTTCTCACTTATATCTGAAATCTTGAAAAAACAGATGGGTGTTTAGCTAAAGGCGAGGTATGGTATAGGCAAAATGGCTGAAGAAAGACAAAAGGTACAAACTTCCAGTTATAAAATAAGATGTGAGGATGTAATGTACAGCATGGCAACTATACTTCATACTTTATTACATATTTGAAAGTTGCGAAGAGTAAACTGTAAAGTTATCACAAGAAAAAAAATTCTGTAACTATATGTAGTGACCGGTGTTAACTAGACTTACTGTGATTATTTCACAATACATACGAATATTGAATCATTATGCTGTATATCTGAAACTAATATTGCATGTTAATTATACCAAATACTTGGGAGGAAGGGAGGGAAAATCTTGATAACAGGGTGGGGCCCTTCAAGGGTAGGGTGACCCGTAATACACACAGGAATCTTCTAGGAACAATAGGGAAAGACATTTACCAGAAGGAGGGTTTTCTCTTGAAGTCAGATATGGTCAATTCCACCTTTCTCAATCATTTGGCTGACACTGGAGGGTGGCCTAGTTACTGTGTCCCAGGGTGTTCTTTGTTCTACTCTGGAATGTGTCTTATTCTCTTGTCTTGACCAAAGGTAAAAACTAAGTTCACAACGAAATGTTGTGTGGTATTAACAAAATTAACAGAATCAGTTGCACTGCACTATTTACTATGGAAATTTTATTACCTTATGCTGAGAGTTTTGCTATCTCCTCCTGCCTCTCATGGGAAGTTGCAGCTGGTCATAATCTTCTGGTAGAATCTCAAAACTTGAGGGTACATCTACAGACACTTCTTAGCCTACCACTTCTCCAGGTTGTGTATGTTGGTGGGGAGGGAAGAGTTATCTCATCTGCCTTTGTATTCCAGGACCGTGCTCATGACTTCAACCCTGGCTGTAGAGTCCCTGAGGAGGGTCAAGTTAGACAGCTCACTTGTATTCAAGTGTAATCCTTTGTTTCTACAAAGTGATGCATTTTTCAGCAAGTTTATTTCTTTCTTTCTCTCATAGAAAGAAAACCAGCGAAAATGCCTAGTAGAACCTATCACTTATCCAATAGTAGATTCTCAGAGTAGCATTTTCAAGTGAAAGGCTCCCAGTTTATTGAGGAAAAACCTTACCAGCCTGGATGTCATCTTGGGAAATCCACCAGTCCTCTAAGTAACTAAAACAACAGGGAACTATTTACATGAAAAACAAAGCTTGATAGTCAGTGTTATATGACCAATAATCCTCGTTTATTCCCAGAATCAATACCTTAAATGGATGTATAAAATGAAGAACTAAAATGGTCATGTTTTTCAGAAGAATCTATTTCTGTGTAAAACTTGTCTGTTTAGCTGCCAATTCCATCCTGGATACATAGGTGAAAGAATGCTGTAGGCTCCCACCTGGTTTCTAGAGAATATGAAGTTTGGCAGTAAAGTCCAGAGGGCTTTTGTGCCAGGCTATCTTGTCCAGGAGTTGTTTGTACTGGGTGCCCACCTGACTTCCTTTAAACCCATCCTTCCAGGGAGAAACTAGTACTTGAGGATGAACCACAACTCCATGCAGCAGTGCTGAATGACTCAAAAGCTGTCTGTGAGAGAATCTTGTCAGCCAGCACCCAAACCTCAGGGGTCTACAACGGGAACTGTTTGTTCTCGCCCTCACAGGTCTGGGGGTCGGTGGAAGTAGCTCTGTGCGTGTGCGCTCCTCTGAGACCCAAATATGTTTAATGACCAAATTCCACTGAGGGCTTCCAAACAGGGAGGTGCTTTGTTGGGTTTGCCCTGTTATTTCTTCAGCCTGCTCTGTGGGAGTGAGCAGTCCAACTACACGAAGCAGTCAGACTTTGAGCAAGGAGGAACTTGATGGTCCCATACAAGAGAGGAGCCACATCCAAAAGAACTTTTCAATTATAAATCTTTTCTACAAATGACCCTCAGTCTTGCTCACTGTAATCCTGTTTTTGCAATTTGCCCGGTCAGAAACACATCCCTTTTTTTTTTCACTTCGATTGCATCAGGACCAAGTGCAGGCACTCTAAATAGAGTCAACTAAAATCCAATCTCTTCTTGTGTATTGACTCAGATGTCTGACTACTTAGAGCAAGTGCCAAAGTGCTTAAGTGTCTCCCTCTTACTTGAAAGGATCATAAGGGAGAGGCGTGCAAATGAAACAGTTTTCCACACCACGTCGTCTACCACAACTAGCACCTCTCTTGAGAGGAGAATAACTGTGCCTCCTCTCCTGCAGGAATGGTCAGCAGAGACAGTCCAGCCTACTTGAGTTCATGTTCATTCCTCTCAGTTTCTCTGGCATTCCTTTCTGTGAAAGAATAAACTAGAGATTGACTGAGGGGATCATCAATTTGAGAGCTGAGTTATCCCATGCTGTGAGTCTGAAAAGAAGCCATTATTGGGAAAACGTGGGCTCTAGAATTACCCTGTTTTGTAACACAACTGGTCTAGTCAAGGATGGGAAAGTGGGACAAGAGAGGGGATTGTCACCTCAGCTTTTGTTCATCTGGAAGTGTATTAATTTATGTTTGAAGGATAGTGTCATTGGGTAAGGAATTCATGAAAGTCACTTTCCTTCAACATTTTCAATGAGCTTCTAATGCCTTCTGGTCTCCATGGTGTCTGAGAAATCAGCCATTAATCTTATTGAGGCTCCTTTGTATGTGATGAGCTGCTTTCCTCTTGATGCTTTCAATGCTCTTTCAGCAGTTGGACTGTGATGTGTCTAGTTTTGAGTTTATCCTACTTTGGAGTTAATTGAGCTTCCTGGATGTGTCAAGGTTTGATCAGTTTGGGAGGTTTACAGCCATTTCTTCCAATATTATTTCTGCTCTTTTCTCTCTGTCCTCTCCTTCTTGGACTGCCATTATGTACATGTTGGTATGCTTAATGCTGATATTCACGGATGTCTGAGGCTCTGTTCACTTCTTTCTGTTCAGACTAATCTCAATCAACTCATCTCCAAGTTAGTAGATATGGGCTGGTGGAAGAATGCATCTGCAATTGAGCTTTTCAAGTGAACTTGTTTTTGCATCTTTCAACTCCAGAATTTCCATATGATTCTTTAAAAACTTCTATTGATATTTTCTACTTGATGAGACATTGTTCTCATACTTCAGTTTTACACATGATTTCCTTTACCTTTTGAATGTATTTAAAATAGCGGATTTAAGTTTCTTTTACAGTAAGTAGAACATCTAGGTTTCCTCAGGGACAGTGTCTACTGATTGGAATTTTTCCTGGGTGTATGGGCCTGTTTGTTTTGTTTTTTGGCATGCCTCAATTTGTTGTTAAATTGGATATTTAAAATGGGCAACTATGGACATTACTGGCAACTCTGGAGATTAGATTCCTCAAATCCAAGCTTTGTTGTTGCTGATTGTTTAGTGACTTTTCTGAGTAATTCTGCAAGGTCATAATTCAGTGGCTTAATTGGTAATCCACTGAACTCTCTGCTCAGTTACCTTAATCACCTAACAATTAAAACAGCTATTTCCTTAAACGTTTTGGACCAATAAGTCTTCCAGTTGTGGATGAAGTGCTGTGTATGTGAACCACACCTTTAATTATCTGGCAGTTGTAACTTTACCTTAACCTTTACTCTCCATGTGAGAGTCTCAAGATTGGCAAGAAGTAAGAGATTAGGGCTTTCTTAGGTCTTTCCTGGGTATGTGCACAGCCATGTACCTGTGTGTGGCCTTCTGAAGTCCCAGAAATATGCTGGAGCTTTCCAAAGTACCCTATGAATATCTCCTTCCAGTCTTTCAAGTTTGTGATTAGCCTCTGAAAACACTCATGGCTGAATCAGGGAAGAGAAAAACATGTTCTTAAGCCCCTTCTCTTGCTTGCAATCCTTGGCAGAACCTAACCTGGGTGTGTAGTTGGGTCATCAGTGTTAACTCCCACACCTCTGGCTCTCAGACTCAGGCTGTTTGGTTTTCTTCCCTTTGTGGTGAAGGGCTGAAGTCAGGAACCCATTGATTTGAGTCTGAGTTTTCTCCCAATGGATCAGGCTGTTCTCCAGCCCCTCAGCTAATCTCAGGTGAAGCTGCAACCCAATCGCCTGGAGGACTTGACACAGGTATGTGCCCCCTATGGAACCCCAGCTCTGACATTCCTTAATGCAGTGAGTGGGTTGAGGGACTACTGAGTGAATGTCAAGCTAGGAATGCTCATTGCTTGATGTTCTTGTGCAGAAACAGATTCTGTAGCCTGTTGGCCACCAGAAGTTATGTGCCATGTGATGGTGCTAGGTGCCCACGCAATTTAATGAGCAGGCGTTTTTGTCTTGTGCTGTTTTCTGGATGAGCAGGTGGGTCCCTTATTAAGGTGCTTCCATCTGAAAATCAATTGTGCCTCTCTTGAGTAGTAGCAGCTTGCATTATTTCAGAAGAGATTTTTTAAAAACGGTTTTCTGATCCTGGAGGCATCCGGTATGCTTCAGGAGTTACTAGATCAGAAACACAGAAATGAAAGGTATTTCATTTCTTTCCATTTTTTTGTTTTCACAGTAGCCAAGAACCTGACATGTATTCCTAGGTCCAGTGAGGATAAAGCAACCGTGATTTACAAGTGAATTTGGATCAAAATCTACAAACTAATAAGGATGATACTTTATGCTGATAGTTATAAATGACTTTCCAAGCAACTGACCACCTGCAACTCTCACAAAGTTCTCTCTAACCCAGAGGATCAGATGAGCTGCCCAATCAATGCATAGCAGGCCCCCTGCCCAGTGCCATGGAGGGGACCCTACAACTCAAATGTTAGAAGCTCCTGAGCATTTATCTTAAATCTTGGCAGGGACATTTGAGGGTTTAAAATGAAAGCACTGTCATATTAACTTGTTTCTGCTTTCCTTATATAATCATTCAGGACAGTGACAACCCAAGGGATTATTAAAATGCTGCTTCCCTCAAATCCAGACTCAAGTCTTTCCTCCCTTGATGCTCAGAAATGTGTGAGACTTTCGGGTCTGACTGATGGGTCCTCTGGGGTAATTGCCTCCCAGCCCTTATCTGTACAATGTAGTTGAGCTCATTGAGCTTGGTCCTCTGGACTCTCCTGACCCAGAGCACGAGTGCAACCCCTGTGTGTGGCTCTTGGAATTGCATACCTTGGTGCACTGAGGATGACCTTCTTATGGGCATGGCACATGGGGCTCTGATTCCTGGGCTGAGCGCTAAATCTGACCTGATATTCCCGACTCAGTGTCCAGTCTTGATATCTTTCCTGATGGGGCTCAAATGCTGCTTTTATGGCCACAAGAATTGCCAATCTCATCCAATGTATAAGAAGTTTATACAGAACTAGGCTTTGCCAAAGTATGGGGCCTTGAGCATCTTTCACTGTGCACTTCATCTTAAGTCCAGTCAAATGCCCTTCTCTTGCATATAGTGAAGAGAAATATTGAGTTTCTGCCTGACTTGCATGGAGGATGCTGAGTTGTATATTCGGGGTTCTATTTGCAGACGGTCCTGCAGTGTGGGCTCTATGCAGGGAAATGATGGGTCAGCAGCAGGTGGTCAGCACCACCAAGAGCACCCCAGCTCCCTCAACAGTAGCCCTCAGAGAACCCAGCTCCAGAGCATAAGCTGCTACCCAGGGAAGAATTGCATGGTAAGCAGATGCTGTCAAAGAAGATTCCTGAGTCCTGCTTTATCTGGTGAAAGAGGCAGCAACTCCAGGTGAGAGGCGTAAATCTGTCCCATCATCATCTAAGAACAGTCTCCTCTGAGGGTTTTTCTAGCTTGGACATTAATCATTTCCAGACAGTCCTTTGGAGGCCCGAGTGGTCAGCAGTCTCTTAAAATCTTAAAAGCAAGCATCTCCCTTCAGAAGAGTTGAGCTATTACAGCTCCAATACCATGCTACATATAAGACACGACAGTCCTGTGGATCTGAAGAATGCCCTCATTCACTAAGCCACGGCAACACATGCTAGAACCTCCCGAAGGGTGGGTGGATGCTTGGAGCCACGTGACGGGAGCATCCTTTGGAATCCTGCAAGTCACTGCCCAGCCCAGGGAGCAGCTCTGCAGTGAGAGGCACTTCAAGTTTCACTTTAGTATTTTCATCAAGGTGCTACACTTGTGCAGGATCATTGCTTAACCTGGACCTTGAAAACTACTCGGCAACCTAGTTCCAGAGACTGAAATGTGAAGTCCACTTGTCACAGGCTGCCTGCACTGTCATCCTGCCCCCAACCCACCTCTGACCTTTGTTCTCTCTGGTCTGGGGAAGCAACTGCATGTGGACGTTCCTGGAGCCAAACTCTTCTGTGTTTGGACAAGGAACAGCTGTCTTGTCAGTTTTAGCAGGGTGGTCCCTGACCCCCATCCTTATGTGACCCCTGGATTGCGGAGCAGATCATGGACTCTCCTAGGCACAGCTCACCTTGTGAGGAGCAGAGGTCATTCTTGGAGGTGACAGACTTAAATCAGCTCTGGCATTTTCTGAGAGTGGTCACTAGTGGGTGCTGCATTTGGGGAATTCACCCAGAGGAAGTGAAGGTCTGAATACAGGAAGCACAGAGTGGAAACTTCTGCCTTTCTTTGATGCCTTTGGTACCAACTGAAATGTGTCCCAAAAAGTCTGGGACAGTACTGGTCTTGGTTAACACTAGCACCTTCTCTGGGCAGGAAGGCTTCAGTGTTCCAAGGAGCAGGTTTCAGAGTCGATCCTATCACCCCAGTGTTTGCCCCACAGCCTGACAGCCCAGGATTCTAAGTGTTAGCTGGTGGTACCTTCCATGATGGGCAAACAGCTGCTGGTCTTGCTTTCCGGGGCTTCCACTTTTTGTTGTTGTTTTTTGTTGTTGTTTTTTCGCGGTATGCGGGCCTCTCACTGTTGTGGCCTCTCCCGTTGTGGAGCACAGGCTCCGGACGCACAGGCTCAGCGGCCATGGCTCACAGGCCCAGCCGCTCCGCGGCCTGTGGGATCTTCCCGGACCAGGGCATGAACCCGTGTCCCCTGCATGAGCAGGTGGACTCTCAACCACTGTGCCACCAGGGAAGCCCCGGGGCTTCCACTTTTTGGTTGTGATTTCAAGGTGTCTTTGGGGAGGTAGTCAGGGAGCCTGGACCACGGCTGCCCTAGGAGAGGACAGTGAAGACTCAGGGCTGTTTGTCAGGGCACAGTAAGAAACTTATCACCTCTTCTGGAAGCTCTGATGACTCATAGTTCCTGTGAAGCAGGTACCTTGCGGTTCACCCTGAAAGGCAAGGCCTCTCATAGCATCTCGTTCTCTTTGGCGGGAAAGTAGAGAAATAGACCAGAAGTATTAGACAATCCACTTAGTTTTAGGGACGAGAGCCCTTTAGAGAAATTTGTCTTTTTCTATTCTTGTGAATAATTTGTTACATGAGTGGTGTGTTTCTAGATGAACTGGTAGTAGAATCCTACAAGGAAGTTATCTGGGCCCACATAATACTTTTGGGGAGGGTTTCAATTGTGTATTTAGTCCCTTTCATAGAAGCACTGAATATTCAATATTTATTGTATATAAGTTTTAATAATTTAAATTTCAAATGCATAGGTATAAATGCCTTGAAAGACTCAAATTGAACACTCTTCATACCTTCATTTGTAGGTTGGGATGCTAGGAAGATATGTTGCTATGCGGCTTTCAAATATTTGAAATAAACTTTAGTGAGCTAGTATGGATTCCTTTGAACGTAGAACCTGAAATACCAATTTTGGGCAGGCACCGTATTAACTTCCTATTGCTTGTGTAACTAAATGACCACCGGGTTAGGGGCCTAAGTGAAGACAAATTTTATCTTAGAATTCTGGAGATCAAGAGCTTGACAGGGGCCTCTCTTGGGTAAAATCAAGGTGTTGGCAGGTTTGCATCATTTTTGGTGGTGGCAGGGGACAGTTTGTTTCCCTGCCTTATCCCCTTTCTAGAGGCCCCCAGAAGTTGCTGGCTTGTGGCCTCTTCTTTCATCTTCAGATTCTTGACCCTCTTTCAACTTCAGAGTTGGCAGTGAATATTGAAATCTGCCTCTCACTCACCTTATTTCACTCTTGTGAATACATTGGGCCCATGTTGCATAATCCAGGATAATTTCCTTGGTTTAAGGTCGGCTGATTAGCAAACTTAATTTCCTCTTCTGATTAACTCCCCCTTGCCATGTAACATAATGTGTTTCCAGGTTCCCAGGATTAGGATGTTAACAAGGTTGGGGCATGCTGTTATCAACTTTATGGTAGTTTATTTGGAAGTGATCCCCAGGAATCCCAGAGGAAGGGGAAACCTGAGACCAGTTGAAGGGAGTAGGCTCTGAAGGGGTTGTTATTAGGTTGGTCACCTCTACAGGTGACTGGTACTCAACCCCACTTGGGACCCGTGAGGTGCCATGTGGAATGCATCTCATAATTGTGCCTCCTGGGGTCAAGAGTCTGGCCATTTACCCACTACCTGCTGTGTTCTTTGCAGTTACTCCCTCCCCCGAGCCATCTGTTCCCCTGCGCTTCTGAGATGTGATTCTGTATGAAAACAAGGGGACAGAGAGGGTCAGGGTGTGGCACTGAGCAGCCCAATCCTTTCAGTGGATGCCAACCTCCTGGATTTCCCTTTTAGAAGAAGAGGGACTAGTTCAGGGCTGCTTCCAGCAAGATGCTCCCTGTTCTATCTTCCTGCGATGGAGACTTTTCCCTCTTCTGGGAAATCTTTTTTATACCTCCTTAGATCCCATTTAGCCTTGTTCCCATCTCAGCCTCCCACAATGTCTGCCTGTATTTAATATCTTAGGATGCCCCAAATTAACAAAATTTCATTGTATTCAAGGGTGGCTCATTCTCTTCCACAAACAGATGAGAGTATACTAAGGATGTGCAACTAAATCTACCTCATTGCAGATCTCCCTTACAAGTCATGAATCATTCTAAGATACGTATTGTAAAAATTCGAGAACTGATTTCCTTGTTGGCATGTGATGGAGATCAGCAGGTTTAGGTTTTCACATTCATGTAGATACTATCATACGTCAACTCTTGCATTTCATTGCTATATACCTCTACCATTTAGGGGGGAATGTGATCTAAAATCTTTATTTCGTTAATATTTAGTTTTCTTAAGTATTTTCAGTTTTGAGATTCTAAGAAATGTCTACATCTCATTCAAATTGGAACAATTGATGCTTTTTTAATGAGAAGAATTTCTTCTCTCCTGAGAGTCTACCTTCCTCAGCTCCCATAAATTCTTGTGAACCTAGTCTGGTCAGGTTGCCTTCCCCCACTCCCCCACTTAAAACTCCTAAGATTGCATGAGAAGGAAAAAGGGGATGTGTTGAACTCCTTCTCCTGCTGGCAGTCCCTGGCAGGCCCAGGCCTGGATGGACCAGACCCTGTGCTGCTTCTAGAGGAAGCTTCGGCCAAGTGCGCTGGGCTCTGGCTTCTCCCTCAGCTGTGTGGTGTTTGCCCAGCAGGGGCTGGGATGATGGGGGTCAAAGCCTAGGTCCTTCATTGACCCATGTCTTCCAGAAACTCCTAGTCTTTGGTGCCTATACGAGAGTCATCTCCAAGCCAGAGTATTTAGGTGGTTCAGATGGTCCAGGTGGGGTTTATTACTACCTGTCTGTTCTGGGGGAGCGAGCACTCCATTTTGCCCCCAGGGATGCTGATGACCAGGGCAGGATTTACTGTGAGCCTGGGTCACTCATGTGACCTCCCTCTACCACATGTGTGAGTCCAGATCTCGGTCTTACTTTGTGCCATGGGCTCTCTGCAGGGTGGTGAAGGGCTGAGGCTCAGGGGTCAGCAATGTCCACACTGTGTGCAAGGCTGAGCCCCTGGTAGATCATATCTCTGGAAAGATAGCATTTCCCCCTCTGCCCTGGTCATCTTAGGTTACCAGGCAGTTGTGACACACCTGTGTCCTCTTAATGGAACCAGCCCTGACATTTCTTATCAGGGTGAATTGACTGAAGATGAATTGAAGGATTTATCCAATTATGGAAAATGCTTGCCTGACCCTTTCCTGTGAGGCAGGAACAATGCAGCCTCATGGCCCCCACACAAGTCATGTGGCAGGTGCCTGCCTTCCCCAGGGCCCACAGAACACTGCTCATTTTTCTTGATGGGGCAATTTCCCCTTGTACTGCCTTCTCAAGAATGGGTGTTTTCCATCAGAAATTGTTCCATCATTAATCCCAGTCCTGTGGTTCTTCTTGATTAATGTTTTAGAAGAGAAAATAGTTTTCAGGTTTTTGTGATTCTGAGTGGTCCAGTGTGAATCAAGATTGACTAGATGAGGAATCCAACACTGGATATTTTCCTTTTCAGCTCTCACAACAGCTAATTATTAATGTGCTGTAGTTCTTCTAAATGGAGTCAGGATCAAAATCTGCATTCCCATTATTCAGATGATATTTTATACTGATAGAAGTGATGACTTTGTAAACATGACACAGAGAACTTGTCTGTTACCTCCTGCTACTCCTAATACATCTTCTATAACTCAGCCAGATGAGCTGCCTGAGCATAGCAGGCACCATGGGTGAATTACATGTCCAGCACAGATGGGACCGTGAACGTATGTACTATCCTCTACTTTGCACCCTGGTGGCCCCTAAGAGAGGGGAGTTTGAGTGATTGCAATGAAACTATACTGTCTTCCACACTTTTGCCTTTCCTTTTCCTCCTGCTTCTGGGAGGTTTCTTAAACTGAATCTTCGGCCACATT